TGAAAAACTTCTTTTCTCATCTCATTGAAGTTAAAAGGGATTGGCCTTATAAGAAGCTTAATTTTGGATTACCCCGATCTTGTTTAAAACAGACCTAGTAACAATTTCTTCTATTACCCTTGATCTTGGGTTCGTGGTCTCCATAAGAAATGTTCCTTGTCATCCGAGAAGATGATTGGCATAGGTAGAACGAGACAGAATTTGCTTGTATCCTCCGATTGCATTTTCACGCTTTTGAACTAGGCCATTAATGGAGGTGGAATCAGGGGATACATTTGGGACACTTTCAGCTCTCAAATCCTTCCCAAGACAGGTTGGGGAGCTCATTTAGAACTTAAAGAAATTGGTTTAGGGAAAATGGTAAATCATAGCTCACGAATTTAGAAGAAATCAATTGAAAAAATACTCAAAGTTAAAAGCTTATTTTTTTAGTTTTAGGAACTCTCATGACTATTCTTGTTTCGAATCATTGCTTATAACTCCTTGTTTAAGATAAAACTTGCACTGTCATTGCTTGTTCTAAAGTCGATGTGAATTTTAACTTGAAATTTTTAGAGTTCTCAAAAATATTTTCTCCATTGAAAGTGTTGCGGACCTCAGTTTTGAATTTCAGCTATTAGAGATTTATTAAAATTTCAACTCAATTCAACAGTGATATAAGGGATTTAATATAGTTGGTCAAAACAGATCTATAAAAAAAATCTAATGGTAATCATTTACTTATAATTCCTTGCTAGAAATGAAAATTATTTACTTAGGTTTAAAGCTAAGTTCGAGAACAACCACGGTATGAGAGTTATTCAGTTATTTTTGGTTATTGAGCTATTACTTAGATAAAGCGATACGATCATGTATAAAATTTTATACACGTGTATGGAGATGAACTGTGATATGAGATAGCTAAAATATGAGTTGAAGTTATATAACCTTGAATGGAGTAGATTAAGAGATTCACCGTAATAGAAGTATAAAAATAAAATTCAAGCCAACTAGTTAGTGTACCTTTGAGAATCTACCAACACCACTACATAAATATGTTCCAATAGAGTAGTATAACTAGTTTTCTGTGCTTGGCATATTAAAGTTTCTCTGTACCAGTATGACCGGTTTTGAGCAAGTTCGTGAAGCACTTTTAACCACATTATAATGTTATAAAGACCTTACCTCAGTTAAGGTTTCGCGTGAGGTTGATTTTGTAACATTAGTATCAGTGTGAGATGTTGATTTTAATAAAGAGTTCGAGCTATGAACCCCCATCAAATTCTTAAGATTATGGATCGAATAATTTAGCAGAGTTGAGGTAGACCTAGCTACAGAAACGTGAGTTACGAAGCCAAAACTTCACACGCCTTAACATTTTCCATGAGCACATTAACTCTGATCTTTATGAGAAAAGAATTGGCCCATGCATCGATATATTGAATATCAAGAACTTATCAAGATAGTGATGAAAAACATTTGTTCTTAAACAAATTAAGGGTCCCTCGAGTATACGAGCCAATAAGGGCAATATTTCAAAGATATTCTCTAAGTTCGGCATAGTCGTTATGAGTTATTGTGATGTCGTTAACTTACTAATGCCGCATAACTTAAGTATGAGCCTTGGTTAGCCAATATTATTTAGTCTAGTAGACTTTGTTAAAGTAAAAAAAGTTTATAGTTAGCCTAGACGAGTATAGTGGCAGAAATTCGTAGGTTCTTTTAACCTAGTAAGAGAGGGGAGAAGGTTTATTCAAATGTTTCAAGTTTGACCTATTTACCGTAGAGTTTTCTAATGTGAAAGAATTGGTTGACCTTGCCCGAGCATCAAAATGTGCTAGGAATTATGAAGGTTGGTAAATTTTGTTGATGTTATGAGAAAATAACTCGCGGGAATACTTAGGTAACATGCTCTACCTCATATTTACTAAATGAATATGAGATTATTTTCTTCATAATTCCTCTCAATTTAGCTTAATTTAAGGTACGAATGAATATAAGTGATTCATACCAGTATTTCTTAAGAAAATTTCAAGATAGCTACTTATCTCTTAAACTATGTCTGGAGCTTCATTTCTCGAGCTTATATTATCCAATTTACTCCAAATTTTCTTTGAAAATCTTTTCAGGGAGTCTAGTTTCGGGAACCATCAAGAATTTGATGAGAACTCATCTACAAGGGGTCAACCTTCTTCCTCTCGCAGGGGAAGAAGATGCATGTGGCAATAGTGCTACCGTCTAAAAACGATGTTCCACCGTTCATTTTAGAGTAGTTTTCCTCTCCATTTCATCATAAAACTTAAAGATGGTGTATCAAGAGCTAGATATTGATTTCTTACCTTTTGATGTATTAGGACGTAAGTTATAACTCGTCAAAGTCGGATAAAAATCTATTTCCTCGACAGAGTAGACCCACTAAAATTTCTTATTAGTCAGAGAATTTGGGATCTTAACGAGCCATGACTTTTTCACTCAACTTCCCCCTCAAGCTCAAGAAATTATTTTGAAGGAATGACTTTGTGGAACTATGGCCAATTTTGGAGTTTAATCCTCGGTGTGTAATTCAACTCAAAATGCGGAAGTTGGTTTTCATAGGCAGATTGATCCGGGATGAGTTAGATCTTGATTTCTTCATAAAAAGATGTTCAACTTAATCCTCTAACGCTAATATAATACTAACTTAAGGTGAGAGAGATCATAGGTAGGAAATTCGAACTTACCCTCATATCTTACTCGAAAATGATTTTCTTCAATTGGGCACGCTCTTGAACTTATTGGCCTTCAAGGTTTTTTTTTTTTTTAATGAAAACACTTCTTGATGATGCAAACAGTGAATGGGATATGTTAGCCACGACGAATTTGTATGCCGAACTTTTCCTTGCGCTTCTTTAATGGTGGATCGAATTGGACATATAGGACAAGACTTAAGTTCTTAGACATAGGACCTAGTACCTCATAACTAAGGTTAAAATTTTATATCCAAGGACCACAAATTTTAGAACCAAGGACCATGGTTTTTGGGCTAGACCAGGATAAGAACTCAAGAACAGAACCTAAAGACTTAAGTTCTCAAGATAAGAATACGTACGTTCTAAGAAAGGGTTTGGGATCCTAACACACCTTAAGGGCATGATTAAGAGCTTACAAATAGGCTACTTATTGAATCTTTGTACTCATTCCTATTTCTTAGTTTTTTAGGTAACAATAACGAGCTGTTCAAGGATGGAAGTGGATCAAGAATAGGTGTCATACGGAGCCACACCGTGTTTCAACTATTTTACTGTTTTAAGTTGTTTTGTTTATTGAGTCCAATGTATTCAAACTTTATTTTTTATTTGTATATAAAATATATTCATGTTTTGTTTTAAATGAGAAAAAATTAATTAGGAGTTGGGGTCTTTTCATGTTTTCAAGTTTTTAATAAGTCGCAACTCGCGAAATTCAGGTCGTGACACTTGGGCTCTTTTTTTCTTTTTTGGGTAGGGTTGGATGCATAGTACTTATCTATACACGTTTCACACACAAGCACATAAACCCACAAGGCAGTCTCATATTCGTACCCCCTAGACCTGACTACAGTCTAGTGCATGCTCTTGTTATCGAAACCAACGAAAAGAAAGGAGCGTGTATCATAACATAGTGAACGTGTCAATACAAAATAATTGGAGAAATATCCTATATCTGTGACATCTAATATGCATGAGGTCCCATAATTTCAAACGTTGATATATGGTTATTATGCATATCATAACTTCCTTGTGAGGCATGCATACGTGCACATAGCATATCTTTTATTATCGCCATACATGGCTCATCAAGTGGATTAGCATATTGGAAGTACATGCATCACACAACACTCATTATCATAACATAGTTATATCATATCATAACATCAGAAAATAATATGTAACTCACTCAATTAATCTAACTTAGCTCAAAGGCATTTGAACAGTAAGTTCACTTACTTGTTGGCCTAAATCAACAACAGTGAACTTACTTGTTGGCCTAAATCAACAACAGTAGATTTTCACGGGACTCTAATCCTATAGGTTAAATAGACATCTTTAATACTCGTTAGGATTTCAACGGATCCTCTCATAACATTGTCAATAAGTAGGCAACCATTCTTCTACTCTCTCTTTGGACTCTTTGGATTGAGAAAAACGACCAGTGAGGAAATGACTTCAAATTTTCTTTAATAATTTATTCACTTCTTTTAAAAATGTGTATGTGTATATATATATATATATATATATGTATGTATATGAGATTAAGTCAACCAGCATTTGTAATGTCTTTTGCCTATGAATATGGCTTTATTCATGATGCATATATATATACCCCAATTGTGCTCAACTTAATGTCTTTTGCATATAAATATGACTCTATTCATAATGCATTGTGCACATATTATTCTCAAATTTTATTCCCCTCATTTTTTTTTATTAGTGATATTAAAAAAAAAAAAAAACTCAGTTATCGGAAAAATTTGATCAATCCACTCCAACTCATATAGTCTGGGTTGGATTATAAACTTATTTTAGTTGGGTTGAGTTCAAATAAATGAAAACTTCGTAGATTGAATTGGTTCATGAATTCTCCTAAAACTAGATTGGGTTGAACTGAACCAACCCGAATTTGTTGTTGATTTAAAAAAAAACACACATTTTTTACCTACTATACAATTATATATACATATGTAACAATTTAGAACTCGATAACTCTTAAAAATAATTTCAACTATTTAGACCTCAAGTCTATGCTAATTTAAACCTTAAGTTTCGAGAATGTGTAACAATTTATGCCTAGGATTTGAACGAAGATTCAGTATTTAATGTCCCAACATTCTGACATGATTGTGCTAATGGTTCCTTACATTCTGACATGATTGTCTTATTGGTTCCTAAATTTTAAACTACCATATGATTGAACTAGCGAAAAGGAAGATGAACCTTGTTGGTGTAGGTAATAACTTTCAATTCTTTAAGTTTTTCTTAACCATCTTATTCTCAATATCGCTCTCATTCGAATGCGGTCTCGATTCATTCATGCAACAAAGAAAATCTTTCACCTTTTTGTTGTGAGACGAGAAAGTCCACAGGCTACATTAGTCGCAAATGCAAGTTAGCTTGAATCCAATTACCAAAAATGCCTCAAAAGATAACAAGTAAAGATAGCTTCTTGTTTCTCATAGATTATGCTCATGAACAAAATTTTGGTACCGTAACTGAGAGATTCTCACATCAGTTGGGGAAGAGAATGAAGCATTCTTTATAAGGGTGTGAAAACCTCTCTCTAGCATAGACGTACGTTTTAAAAACCTTGAGAAAAAGCCCGAAAGAAAAAACTCAAAGAAGACAATATCTGTTAGCGGTGAGTCTAGACGGTAAATGATGTTGGCCGACATAGGAAGTGCTTCCTGATCTGTTGGGAGATAGAACAATGTACTTTGAAAGGCCATGGTCCTCATAGACCCGTCTTGGAATGTTACATGCTAAAATGCGGGTCGGTGGCGTTGATAGTTCCCGATCCCTCGGATCGTCTTCTCTCGATGAATTATTATCCAAAGTTGCATCCCTTTTTGAATGATTCTCTCTCCTCGAAAACCCGAATTTTGACTTCACACAGGAGGTGTTGTATGATGACAAGCTTGATTATTATGTTGAGGAGGTGCTTCTTCGCGACGTTGTTCATTTGTCGATTCGAGTCCCATCTCAATCTGTATATGCGGTGGTCGGGACGACGGAGAAAGGACGGAGAGACGGCAGAGTGGGCAGGTGCTGTGGTTGGATAGCCAATGATCAATGCAGTCAAGGTGAAATACATGCCCACATGATGGTATCTTCTGAAGCTTATCTTTTGTTTGGTATTCCCCTAAACAGACTGAACATCTGCCACAAACAACAAACACATAAGGATTGCTCTCTCGAGACGAGGCCGAATAGAGAGAATTAACAGAAAAAAATAGCGATATTTTTCGACACTATTGTGAGGAATAGTCAAATTTGATCATTTTGACATGTATGATTTAGTATCCAAAGCCTAATTCGGTTTGAAGTTCATTATATACACATTGTCACCGGCTCTTTTTCTTCGAAATTCATATTGAGGAAATAGTAGCTTATGAGAGATACCCTAACAAATGAACAAAAAGTCTCCAATGATACGCGACAGAAAATGAACCGAAAATTGGCCAAGTAGGCAACAATTGGGTTTGTCAAAAACTATCGACCGTAACTCAATTTTTTTGCCTAGTGCTATAAATAAACTAGTTAGGGTTTTGGTTTGAAGTTCATGTATATAGTGTCATAATGTAACAACTCAAGCCCACCGCTAGTAGATATTGTCCTCTATGAGCTTTCCTTTTCGGGCTTCCCCTCGAGGTTTTTAAAACGCATCTGTTAGGGAGAGGTTTCCACACCGTTATAAAGGATGTTTCGTTCTCCTTCCCAAGGGCTCAGCGTCCTCGTTGGCACTCATTCCCTTCTTTAATCGATGTGGGACCCTCCAATCGACCCCCTTTCAAGGTCCAGCGTCCTTGTTGGCACACTGCCTCATGTCCACCCCCCTTCAGGGCTCAACCTTCTCGCCGGCACATCGTCTGGTGTCTAGCTCTGATACCATTTGTAACCGCCCAAGCCCACCACTAGCATATATTGTCCTCTTTGGGCTTTCCCTTTCGGGATTCTCCTCAAGGTTTTTAAAACGCATATACTAGGGAGAGGTTTCTATACCGTTATAAAGAATGTTTCATTCTCCTCCCCAGCCGATGTGGGATCTAGGGTCCAACGTCCTCGCTGGCACCCGTTCCCTTCTCTAATCGATGTGTGACCACCCAATCCACCCTCCTTCGAGGCCCAGCATCCTTGCTGGCACACCACCTCGTGTCCACCCCCCACCCCTCCCTTTTTCAGGACTCGGCCTCCTCGCTGGCACATCGCCCAGTGTTTGTCTCTCATACCATTTGTAACAGCCCAAACCCACCACTAGCAAATATCGTCCTCTTTGAGCTTTCTCTCTCGAGTTTCCCCTCAAAGTTTTTAAAACGCGTCTACTAGGAGAGATTTCCACACCTTTACAAAGAATGTTACATTCTCCTCCCCGACCAATGTGAGATCTCACACATAAGCTCTTTTTCTTCGAATATCATGTCCCAATCCTATTTAAGATAGCTCTTCAAAACAGCCCTAAAACTGATGGGTACCTTATAGAAATGCCCTTAAAATAGAAACATTCACCAAAATACATAAAACAAACATAAGAAAACAAATCCACTCACAGGGTATCAGTAACAAAGAATGTTTCATTGAACACAATAATAGGAAGCATCTCCCTGAATTCCTTCTTCAACCCAACATCACACTGCTCAACCACAACAACAAAGAAACCTCAAAATCATTCATAATCAAAAACAAACCAAACAACACACATAAAGAGAAGTTCATACAGCAGATATGTTATTGTTGTTCACTGCATCAGATGTTCGCATTCGAATAGAATTCCAATCCGCCCTTCGTCGACGAAGATAAAGAAGATAGAAAAGGAATAGAAGAATGAAAGTGAAAAGAATTGGAACAGAGAACACAAAAAACTGATAGAGTTTCAGTTCTGAAGATTGATCCAAATGATCATAACCCATTTTTACAAAACCCCTCCTCCTAATCTGCTAGATCTTAACAACCCAGAAATAATTTGCAGTTTTGGTGAAAAAATCGAAGCAAGTACAGAGAAATTCAGCTAAATTAACACGAATTAGCAATACCCAGATCCAGATTACATTGTAGTTAACAGATCCAACAGCAAAATCAAGAAAAAAAAGCAAGAACAATTGAGGGATTAGCAGTTCATCTCAGAAAATTACTTAATGATATCAAAACCCCAAATGAAAACATGGGCGAATAGCAGTTCATCTCAGAAAGTAAATTAAAGATATCAAAACCCCAAATCGAAACAGGGGCGAGTAGCAGTTCATCTCAGAAAGTAAATTAAAGATATCAAAACCCCAAATGAAAACAGGGGCGAGTAGCAGTTCATCTCAGAAAATAACTTAAAGATATCAAAACCCCAAATCAAAACAAGGGCGAATAGCAGTTCATCTCAGAAAATAACTTAAAGACATCAAAACCCCAAATGAAAACAGGGGCGAACTGGACGAATTCAAGGATTTCAACGAGGGAGATAACAATTAGATGAAATTAAGCGAACCCAAATAAGAACAAAATCAGTAGAAGAAGTAGCAATGAGGAAAGAACCTTGGAATGCAGGAGGAGGAGGAGGACGAGAGGGTTTAAGTATTCGATTTTCCTCGTCTCCGTGTAATATTATAATGAAAACCTAAGGCATTGAAGATAAACATCATTTGTTTGAGAGGGTTTCCCAAATGAAATAGAAATGTGGAAATGGTTTTAAATATTTCAAGGAAGTTCAATGGAAATGGAGGAATTTGTCACTTTGTTTGAGCAAATGGTAGCTAAATTGAAATATCTGATCTTTTATATTGTTTGATATTGAAATCGATACACGTGGTTTTTCATCGACCCCACGAGATATTATAGATATTTCAAATCAATGCAATCAAAAAATGGATGAAAATATGTCCCTATATCATTCTATGATCGTCTGAGAGAGAGAGAGAGACATGGATGTTTAAATACAATAGTACAAGTGTGATAAGATCCTACATTGATTGGAGATGAGAACGAAGTATTTTTTATAAGGGTGTGGAAACCTCTTCCTAACAGATCCATTTTAAAACCGAGAGACTGACGACGATACGTAATGGGCTAAAGCGGACAATATCTGTTAACGGTGGACTTGAGCTATTATAAGTAGTATCAGAGCCAGAACGATGTGCCAGTGAGGACGTTGGACCCCTACAAGTTGGATTGTGAGATCCCACATCGGTTGGAGATAGAACTAAACATTCTTATAAGAGTGTGGAAACCTCTCTCTAACAGACACATTTTAAAATTGTGAGACTGGCGACGATACGTAATAGACCAAAGATGACAATATCTATTAGCGGTGGGCTTAAGCTGTTACAAATGGTATCAGAGCTGGACACCAGGACGATTTGCCAGTGAGGATGTTGGACTCCTAACGAGGTGGATTGTGAGATCCCACATCAGTTGAAGAGGGAAACGAAGCATTCCTTAAAAGGATGTGGAAACATTTCCCTAACAAGTGCATTTTAAAACCGTGAGACTGACGCCCATACATAATGGGCTAAGTTTAATAGACATATATTTTAAAAGTTTAGGGACGTTGAATACCAACCTAAAGAGCGTTTCAGATTGACGTTTTAGTGAAGAGAAAGAGATGTTGGTATATGCTTTCAATAGTCAGTTTATTCCCTCTTTGGTTAAACATTTGCAGTGTGTGGAATGTTGATAAGATAATAATATTTATTATTGGATATTTTTAATTACTTTTTTTATTTTTCGTTATGAAATATAAAACTTCAACCGCTAACTCCACGTTATTAAAAAAAAAAGCACCTCTTTAGAATATATTTGAGACGTGTTTCTCCTACCTTATCTGTCCATATCTCCATCCTAGTATTTTTAAATAACATGACTCCACGATCTCACCTAATTTTGTCCCGAAAATAATATTATCTTTCCATAATTTAAAATGTGTGTATTATTATGAGACAAATGATTCGACCATCGTAACCATTCAAACTCATTGCTAGCAAATACTATCCTTTTTGGACTTTTTCTCAGATACTCTTATAAATAAGTTTGTTCCCCTCTCCAAGTGGGATCTCACAATCCACCCTCCTAGAGGCCAATCGCGGATCTCACAATCCACCATCCCTCTCGGGGCCAATTGGGGATCTCACAATCCACCATCCTTGGAGGCCAATCGGGGATCTCACAATCCACTCTCCTTGGCGGCCAGTATCCTCGCTGGCACACCACTAGCTCTCTTAATACCATTTGTAATTCTTAATACCATTTGTAACCGTTTTTGGGTTGTAACCTGGCCCTTAATACCATTTGTAACAGATTTTGGGTTGGTTGTAACCGTTCAGTGACTGGCACTAAGGGTTGGTAGTAACTGTCCAGGCACTAATAACTAGCTCTGATACTATTTGTAACAGCTAAAACCCACAATCAATGACGGACCCTAACATCATTTGTAACAACCCAAATCTACTGCTAATAGATATTGCCTTCTTTGGATTTCCTTATAAAAGAAATGTTTCGTTTCCCTGTTCAATCAATGTGAGATCTCGCAACTATTAACTTTTGAGAAAGTAATACAATTCTTTAGGCTAGGAGTGGTTCTTTTCAAAGAATTTGAACACGACCACCCATAGATTCTTGAAATTACTTGTCCAAAGCACATACTAATCCTACAGTAGGCATGTCTATTGAAGAGAAACTAATGGGAAACAAATCTTAAATTTCAAATTTGTGTTCTTATTCTTATTATGAGATGTATATAATATTGTATATCTGAATAATCAAAGATTATCCGAGAGTATGCAACGCATCAACGAGGAACTATTTAGAAACAAATCAACATCTTCCACAGAAGATAAGAGGAACAATGAGGAAATTGAAGGGAAAAAGAACGAAAGAATAGCTTGGGTAGGAGTTGGAATGTTGAAGTACTTTCATTATCTTGATGGAAGTGAAAAACCATTCTCAAGGCATGTAGTTCTGATATCTTGCATTACACTTCCGAGTAGTGTCGGGTTGCTCGTAACGACAGCATCTACTCCCTCGACTAGCATTCTTTTCATCGAGTCCACATCATCAACTGTCCATGCATACACCTTTTTATCTCTCCTGTTGATCAAAACATGTCAACTTGATTCTACAATGCAAGCCCATTGGCTGCCTTCCAAACTTTTTTGTTTTCCGAGTTTAATAACATAAAACGGTGCGTGATTCAAACCTCTAACTTTTGCATCGAATGGAAGCTATACCTGTGCATCATTCGCATAAGGTCTTCATCAATCAATGGATGATAGGCACCAACCACCTTGGCTCCTTTCATTCTCAGCAAGTTCGTTCTTTCACCTGTAGATGGGTCCATCATTACGATATACCCCACCTGCACGTAAAACATATGCGTTATATGAAACGTGCAAACTTTCGATTCTCTGACAGTTAAAAAGTCAAATCCACTGCTTACAAATGAACGGTTAATAACGGAAAATCTATGTTTGACATTGAAAAATACCCAGGCACAATTAAGAGATTCAAGGACATTAAAATCCAGCTGCATGAACACAAGATCAATAATGCGGGATACCGAGCTCGCTCTATAAACTTTAATAACACAGCTCAATGACAAGAGTTTAGGAGCAGATCGTTAAAATAAACACAGATTACATCAAGTCAATGTCTTTTGATGATGTGAACTGAATGTCGAAGAGGTTTAGCCAAACAAATCTATGCAACATTAGCACTCGGAAAAGTAAACTATCCACTAGGTTAAATAATGGTAAGTCAAAATAACTTGAGTAGTTGAATACTAAGACCAGTTTTCACTCACCTTCATATCCGATGATAATTTGATTATGTCCCTCACTAAGCTATCGCTCTTAGCCCATACAAGACAATTCTTACATTGTGTCTTCTCGACCTGAAATTTTTCCATGAACATTAGGCTAAAAATATGAAGAAATTCCATAAGCCGAAATCAAAGAAATGAGAAGGAAAACAAGGCAGTTTGCCTCAAAACAATAACTTTGCACACTTGAATAAGGCTAGAGAGATACAATAACAATGCCAACAAATGAGACTACTCAGAAAGAAGAAAAATTAAAAGAAAATATTCAGTTGTTGGTAATCAGGAATAAATAGATCACATAAAAGTAACTATTACACGTATGGACCTAAAAGAGTAAAGGCTCTAGAAAAAGCTGTTGCGATTATTTGGAAACAAGGACATGACTCATTGAGAACCACCCTCTCCCTTACATCTTCGCACAATAATTTTCTATAAGTTTCTCAATGCAAGCACCAAAACAGCCCAAAAGGACTAAACAAGAAAGAAACTTAATCGACCCAAAAGCCATCTGTTCCCCTGTACCTATACTTTGAAGGGTCATAGAGCTTTAAGGTTGAGCAGTCTTAATTGAAAAACTGAATAGAAATGAAAAAGGACTCGTGCACCACATCTTGAACAGATAGAGAATGGACATTGCACATAATAATAATGCCTCCAGAAGAACCCTATGCTGCTAATTCCTACCACTCCCAATGTATGTGTGTGTGTGTTATATATATATATACATATATAAAACTCATCTTAACGCTTCTAACCAATGAGACAGGACAAGCGGCCCTCTATTTTTTTTTTTTTTTTTTTTTCATTTATGAGCAGCTGATAGGTCTTAATACTTACACTTATTGTGTTTAATTCTCTTACATTTTCATTGACTAATGTGCTGACTTGTGGAAATTGAATTTAATTTGATTTTGGTGGAGAAACCCGGCTTAAAGACATTTTAACTATCAATTTCCAAAACTCAATCTTCAACGGAAGAACATAAAATTTAGGCAAGATTAGTTTTTCAAAGAGTCACATAAGTCCACGTATTCTCTCTGAATACTCATTGATTTCTTTCTTCTTTTTTTCCATAGATTCCAAAAGAAAACCATAATGACGTTTGTTCATAGGAGAAGTTTTGTATTCTTGAATGGATGGTATGTTAAGGTCATGTTCAATAACTCCTTTCCATCCCTATGAAAAGTGAGATGTCATTCGAAAATATTAAGAATTTTTGTTCATAAACCATAAGTATATATCTTCTGCATAAATAGATTGTTTCGTGATTCGCTATCTTTCTTGCATACTGGCACCGATTTGGAAATAGAGTCAAGTAGAGCATTCTTTTTTCTTTTTTTTGTAGGTTGTCACAGGAGCTAATGGCTTTATGCACCATCTCCTTTCCATATTCATCATCCAAGATTTTGTGAAGACCCGTCAAGCTGGGTAGTCATTTCAATGAGTTTACTTCTTGAGACAGTACCATTGGGATAAGTAAAGGCTTAATTCGGCTCATTCCTTAACTTCATTATCCTTTAGGTTCCTACAGAGTTTCAAGTCCTAGAATTTGTTTGTCTTTCCACGTTTCTTTAACCATGGCAGTTTTGCTTTGTGAGAGTCAATACAAAAGAGGATACCGTTGTCAACCCAAGGGTCAGTCCAGAAAGATGTGCTTTCTCCATCACCCATCCTATGGAGAATGCGGTACATGCTGAGGTTTTAGTGCTTTTTTATATACCTCCATGCTCCTTTGCAGAAGGTACATGATGAAGGATTTAAATTTAATCTTTATAAGATTTCTCCACAATGCAGTGTCTTCGTGGTAATATCTCCATACCTATTTGGCGAGGAGAGCTCTATTCTTATCCTTAAAGAAAAAAAAAAGGCTGAGTCCTCCCTTATCTATAGGGAGGCTTACGGTATTCCATTGAATAAGGGGTAGGTCATCTTTCCACATTTAGTTTACGAATAATCTTTCTATTTCCGTATCCACTATCTAATGCATCTCAAATAGAGACATGTATTAAGTGGAAAGGTTGGACAAAGTGGCTTATATTAGGGTGAGCATTCTACCTTTGGAAGGGTAACATGATGAACACATTGATATCTTTCTTTCTATTTTTTCAATAATAGTCTTCCAAAAGAGAAGGATTTGGGGTTCCCATTTAAGGGCAATCCTAAGTAAATATTCGGTCATGCACCCTTTTTACAAGTGTATTTGTGGGCAAAGTCTTCGATATCCTTTGTGCTATTATTGATGCTCATTATCTCTGTTTTTTATTTTTTTTAAGGTTGATGTTTTGTCCTAAGAATCTTTTGAAGATCTTCACTGTCTTGTTTGTTTTATAGATGAGACATCTAACAATTTAAAAAAGATGATTGTGTCATTTGCAAACTTGTTGATACTTAAACCTTTGTTAACAACTTGAAAGCCCTTCCTATTCTACTTGGTGAGCAAGCGACTAAGGCAATCAATTATCATTAAGAAAAAAAAGGTGATAGTGGGTTCCCTTGTCGAAGACCCCGAGTAGCATAGATCTTCCCTTTTTGTCTTCTATTAATGATGAAGGAGAAGTTTGTGGATGAAATGCAACTTTTTATCCTCACTCGCCATTTTGAGCCAAAGTCTTTGGCTACAAAAATGTTTTTCTAGGAAGTCCAATTGACCTTGTTGAAGGCTTTTTTCCAAGTCAAATTTGATGGCCACACTTGTTTGTTTCCTCCTTTTTTATCCATCTATACTATCATCTTCCATTAGGGATGCACCAGGATTTGACGTCTCTATGCATGAACTAACCCGCAGGAGTTATGACCTACTTGTTACACATGGCTTAGTTGTCACTCATAGAGGGTTTTCAGGAGTCATAGAGAGTTTACTATTGAAGTTTTAACGGTGGTGCCTAATGGGGAGAGCCATGGCCTTTTTTACGATCTAGCCCGAGTGGTGTATTGACAGGTAGTTTACTGTTCTACCCTAAAAAAGTGAAGTAACAAGAAGTTATTCTTCCTAAGACAGGTAGTTTTACTGTTCTAACCCGAGGAAGGTACATAAGCATGCAGTTTACTGTTCCAGTCTGAAAAGGCATAGTGACCGGTAGTTTACTGATCTTAGGAACATGTAGATGTTGCCTGACACCGCTAGGGTCACCCACCAATTAGAGCTCAGTAGGTAGACATGCATGGAGTACAATCATCATCTTAAAGCAAAAAGGCTCCTCTAGACTTATGAGTATTACCCTTGAGCCTTTCCATGGGCCGCAGCGATTCAAGGCACACTTTGCGCAAGACTAACGAAGGACCTAGACATATGTGAAACCTAGAGCCAAGGAGAAAATAGAAAACCTCTAGGTTGTGAACCTAAGAGAGATTGAGTACTCCTTAAACAAGGTATGCTAAGGATTAGTTACACAATGACCTACACAGTTTGATACAGATGTTAAGCCATAGTTTGGCTATCGCTAGGGATAGTTATGACACATAGCCTAAGTTTCCTTGTAAAGGATTAAGTTCGACAAAAGCCTACAATTACTTTGTTTACTGAGTATTTTTATACTCATTCCATGTTACTCTATTTTTTTTAGATGGAGTGTAGACCACTATTGATAGTGGGAGCGTGCGGAGACATGCAGCTGTAAGGGGTGCCCTTTAGATCAACTCGTCTTCCTTCTTGACATTTTATTATTATTTTAAATGCTACTTCCCTAACATCACTCTCCATTTCAATCTCTATCCTTTTGCCCTCTCTCCTTAGCTTATAATTGTGTGAACAAATGTAGTAGAACCCAAATAGATTGAAACATAAAACATAACAGAATTACAATGCAATTCTCTAAGTATTTGAGATACTTGGAGCCTCCCCACTCATTTATTACCGGTCGGAATGTGCACATCACACTAGGGATGATGTAGGCTACTTTTCTAGCACATCCTCATTAATTACAACTTGGGAGAGAAAAAAAACCATACAAAACACCTCTCCAGTGCCTAACCATACAAAACACCTCTCCACCACTCACCATTTCTGCTAGCAAGAATGAAACTGCCTTGAAATGGCCCCACATAAACCATACAAAACACCTCTCCAGTGTTGATGAAACATGAATAGGCTTAACACATAAACTAGTCTCCTCTTCGAGTGGAAGTTCAGTGCCTCACTAATGCCACAGGCACTATCATCCCATCTCTCATCCAAGCTACAACCCCAGTTCCAACATAAACTGAAAGCTTCCCCCTCGAGTACACCCATAATTCCTTCGACTAATACATAATAGTATCAACAAACACTATGCTTTCTTCAGTTCCGGAGGGAGAGATGGTAAAGATCACGGGTTTAAAAGTAAGATAATACAAAGATGAAGGCAAAATATTGCAACTGTCAGCTGTACGGTTAATCCTAAAATTGCTAGTACTATTCTAGAACACAGCCACAACTAGAACAACCTTATATTTTACAAATACTCCAAAAAATAAGAACTTAGATTAACATGTTTAGATAATGTCTTCGTTAGTAGAAAATTGTGCAGACAAAGGAGAAAGAAGAGAAAACTCACAACAGAAATGATGTCCTTTGCAAGCCCATTTTCATATGACGGTGGTCCTATCTTTGCATCTAGAATCACCTGCTTAACTGATTTTGATATTAACTGCACAAATACAAGGGAATGATAGTCAACTGAAAATGCCGAGTCTTCCAAAGAATAAACTAAGAAATATCAAACTGGATTTTGGCAAGCAGGATCAGATAGGCATTAAATGGTATATAATGAATTCATTCTAAGAGAGCATATATACTAAAGCTTACCACTAATGCTTCTTCAATTGTAGGAATGTTGAAATCCAGCAATTTATTAGTGTGTTGATAAAAAGCTCCAAGATTTTTTATCTATAACCGCAAACTACAGAATAATGTTACAAAGAGAAAAAAAAAAAAATATATCCATATACAGAAATTGAGGATAAAAAAATATTTCATAGAAGAATAAATTATAAAGGAGCCATTAACAAACAAGTCAAAGGAGTCAGCCCTCTCCCATTGAGGAAAAATCAAGAAAGACTATAATCAGAAAAATCATGATAGAGAGCTCCTAGAGGAAGAAATAGAAATAAATTAGCTCCTATATATCCTTTTTAGTAGCCTCTAGGGAAATGCTCTTTTCTGGACAAATCTCTTACAAAATATCTCTAACAGGCATTAATCAACACCATTGCGACTTATTGCTTGTATGGTTTGCCAGAAACAGGAACACGGAGTCTGTCGAGCATCTCATAAGAGTTGTCTCTATGGCAGTGTAGCAGAAATGAGAAACAGATTCTGTGGCATGCAAAAAGATGCAAAAGAGAATGCCACCCCAGAGATAAAGACTAAGTCTGACTGCCACCTTGTTTCTACTGGGTACCCAGACTCCCAGGGGCCAGGAAACAAGATGATGAAGTAGGGATTACGTTAGAAAGTAACAGGTTTACAGCCAATGTATTGAATCCCATAGCTCCAAGAGGAAAAAATTCCTGCCTTTTTACGCATAAGTAATGTTGATGAGTTGTTATTAGCATAGTGAAGCATGATGAGTTGTTATTAGCATAGTGAAGCGAGGCTATTACGTAATCTTGACAAGCTATTATTAGCGTAGTGCAAAACCAGGCTATTGTTAGAGAGACCCCTTCCAATAATCGACTCAATTTTCCCTACTATTCTTTTACAATTTATCCAAGTAACCATTACAAGCCTATAACTAATTGCAACCAATATAACTATAACTAGCATGACAAAAGGCAACCATATGATTGTCGATGGAGACTGGAGAGCCCCTACACTCATGCAATTGCCTTAGTTGACTTTTAGTTGCTCTTTGACACCTTTTGTGAGTCAGTGAGGATAAGGCAATCATTCACATTGTTTTATTACTTTTAACCAGAAATTTTGTTCTCTGCTATTTCTTGAAAGAAAAAATGGACATTGAAGAAAAAGAAAATTTATTGAATACAAACTCAAGAATGTAAAATAAAATAAATATCATTCTATGTAATCATGTATTACTATATTTATATTTGGATTTAATTACAAGTTTAGTCCTTGAACTTTGAGGTTTGTGTCTAATAGGATCTTGAACTTTAAAAACCGTGTAATAGGTCCTTAAACTTTAAATCTTGCGTCTAATAAGTTCTTCTATTAAAAAATATCTACTTAGTCCTCAACCTTTCAATTTTGTTTCTAATAAGTCATTTATAAAATAGAAACAATTTTCATTTTTTGTATACATAATAAAAAGAAAAGCATTTAGTGTGATAAGCACAAATAAACCTCTTCTGAACGAAATGGCATCAGTAATCAATGTAGTGCCTAAGGATTTAGTATTACACTAAATGGAAAACGATATCCTCGAAACATTAACAAGTGGTTATTGGTTCTTAATTGAAAATGTAAGCACACATTAGAAAGCCCAGGAATTTTGGGGTCCAAACGGTACAACATGGTAGGAAAAGAAAATGACGCTAATCTAGATAAATCTAAATAATCAAGTCCCGTCTACACAAAGCTAAGTACACTTTAGGCACTAAATTTGAGCAATCAGCTCAACCAACACTGTAAAATTGCTCTGTGATGGAACATAAAGAAAGAAGAACTTTTAATCAAGACTCACTTCTCTCTGAGATAGAACACAACAAGCCTTTATTACATAATAAAATCATTTAATGAATCAACCTAATTCCCCTCTCATCCAATCCTCCCTAACAGCGACTGATATCTGCTAACCCAAGAAGCAATTCAATGGAGACTACAGAGTCTTATTTGCAGAAGTCTATAATGGGTGTTGGTATATATATTTATATACATGAACTGGGGAAAATTCATAATAAAGCAAACTCCCTATGCACCTCAATTAGAGAGTTGTTTAATACAGATATCAAGATGCAGAATCTAAACTCACCTCTTTCATGCTAAAATTTCCAACTTGAGAAGTATTTGATCCAGTTATCCTCTGCAAGTCCCTGCCTATCAGGTGATAATCAAGCCTCCAAATATCATCAAAAGTTTCGTAATATGAGAATAAAAGAACAGAGTAAAATATATTTAGCCATTTAATATCTAAAGACCGCTGGTTCCATAACAATCCCAGTCCATATCACCAAGTCCACTGAATATTTCAACACTGAGTACACCTCGACCACAACCTAATATAAGAATCATCTTGATTATTTAATCTTGATTACATTGCAGGAGAAGCAAATTGACATGCCCTAGCCTTCTTAACTGATTTAGATACAATTGGAAACGGTGATGGTTGTTGCCTGTGCACATACATGTGTTGTACAAACTTGTTTTACATACCTGTCATGAAGTGCAAATAAGACTCCATCTGAAGAGCGAGAAACATCAACTTCAATGCAGTTGGCTTGAGACCGAAGCGCTAAGCTATATGCATCCATCTGTAGGAAGTAGTGGAGAAGATCATAACCAATAAAGATCGATCAGAGATGATTCGGTACCTAAAGCGAATAGAGGAATCGTACAGTGTTCGGAAAGGCCTTGGATGAGTCGCCTCCATGAGCACACACAAGTGGAGGATCATTCATCCATTTGCACTTCCCTTGTTGCATCTATACAGAGAACAAACACAATCATGCGATTTTGGAATTGAATTACAGAGTAGAGATCAGATTAGGAGAAAGATTACCTGCTGAAAGCGCTTGAGCTTGAAATGGAAGAAAATGGGAGGCAGAATTGCGATCAAAGCGAGGCATAGGATTGTGAGATGAAAGATTCGTCGGGAAGAGATTCTGAAGGGGAATCGATTGCGCCATGTTCTTTGCCCAATCCAACGCCTCCTTCCAAATCTAGAGCCGGAGAGCACCATTCGGATCGCAACTTTCTGAATCAATTTTTTGTCGAACACCTGCGGACTGGAAGATTACCCACACCGGAGACGGGAGGTTTCTATTGATTTTTCATTTTTTTCTCCCTTCTATAGAAATTATAATTGTAATTTTCGTTGGTTTTATTTTATTTTATTATTATTATTATTTATTTATTGATTTGTTTGTATTTTTTTAGTTAAAAATTTTAAAAAATATTCATAATAATATTTTCACGTTGAATAACATGACCAACTCGAAAATAGAATTACAATTTAACTTTACATTTAAAATTATTATTAAGATAAATAATATCTGATTTGTGAATGTTTAATATTTGAGATCTATGAGATTTTCGTTATCAATGTAAAAGGAACGTCCCTATTTTTCTATTAAAATAGAAACGTCACTACGTGCATGACATGTTTAGTATATGTGAAAAGTCTGTGAAAATATTTCATAAAGAGTTGTGATTGACGCAATGTTCATAACACAAGCCCTAATATAACTGGAGGGTTATTAAACAGGCATAAATGCGACTATCCTAACTCTTGTTTCATGGTCTTTATCACAATGTCGTCATCGATATAGAGGTGTCTTACTTTTACTTGAAAAGCACGTGGCTTTGAGTATTTTAAGTAATACTCAATAAGTATCCCTGTTATTGGGATTGGAAAAATGCAACCTTATGCGACGTGGTGTGAGTTTTTCTTTCATAGAAACATCCATGGCATGGTCTTGGGCTCCGCTTTCGGTGATATCACGCATTGGTTGGGGAGGAGAATGAAACACTCTTTATAAGGGTGTGAACTTTTCACTGCAGACGCATTTCAAAGCCTTGAGGGAAAGCACAAAAGGGAAAGCCCAAAGAAGACAATATCTGCTAGTGGTGAATCTGGGCCGTTATAAATGGTATCAAATCCAGACACCGAACCATGTGCCAGTGAGGAAGCTATTCCTCGAAGGGGGTAGACACGAGACGGTGTACCAGTAAGGACGCTGAGTCTCGAAGGGGGGTGGATTTGTTGGGGGTCCCACATTGATTGGAGAAAGGAACGAGTGCCAATGAGGACGTTGGGCCCTAAAAGGGGGTGGATTGGGGAGGAGAACGAAACACCCTTTATAAGAGTGTAAAACCTTTCCCTAGTAGATGTGTTTTAAAGCCTTGAGGGGAAGCTCGAAAGATTGGAGAAAGGAACGAGTGCCAGTGAGGACGTTGGGCCCTGAAGGGGGTGGATTGGGGAGGAGAACGAAACACCCTTTATAAGAGTGTAAAACCTTTTCCTAGCAGACGCGTTTTAAAGCCTTGAGGAGAAGCCCGAAAGGGAAAGCCCAACCTTTCCCTAGCAGACGCGTTTTAAAGCTTTGAGGGGAAGCCCGAAAGGGAAAGCCCAAAGAGGACAATATCTGCTAACGGTGGATCTGAGCAGTTACAACTTTCTCATCTAAACAATGAAAGCCTTGAGGGGAAGCCCAAAAGGGAAAGCTCAAAGAGGACCAGTATCTGCGGTGGATCTGGGCGGTTACAACTTTTCCATCCAAACAATGTTAGATGTGTAGAACTTTCCTCCACACAGTCTACGCATGCGCACATGGATCCACCAAGATTGCTTGTTTACATACTCCTCGGTTTGAGTCATCCACGCATGCGCGCATGGATCCACCAGGATTGCTTGTTTACATACTC